AAAAAAATCGAATGTCGATCTTCTAGGATGAAATATCGATTTACTGAATCGATTCATTGCTACATATCGATTTAAAAATTCAATTTTTTTGCCCGAGAAATCGATCTCATATCGCCATCCCTAAAAATAACCCCTTAAGATAAGAGAAATAATATCGGGCTTTTCATTTCTCATGACATCATCTTTGTATTTATTGTATCTTTGATACAATATCATTAGAGCTCCTCTTCGAGTGAAAATAACCCCTTAATATAAAAGAAATAATATCGTGCTTTTCACTTCTCATGACATCATCTCTGTATTTATTGTATCTGTGATACAATATCATTAGAGCTCCTCTTCGAGTGAAAATAATCGCTTAATATAAGAGAAATAATATCGTGATTTTCATTTCTTATGACATCACCTTTGTATCTATTGCACTTATGATGCAATATCATTAGAGCTCCTCCTCGAGTGAAAATAACCCTTTATTATAAGAGAAATATAATGGGGCTTTTCATTTCTCCTGACCTCATCTTTATATCTATTGCATCTATGAGATACAATATCATTAGAGCTCATCTTCGAGTGAAAATAACCCCTTAAAATAATAGAAATAATATCGTGCTTTTCATTTCTCATGACATCATCTTTTCTCAATCATCAAAAAAAATAAATTTGTATGACCCCTTTTTTCTCCATTCTCCTTATCAAAAGTAATGATTGGTTTCAGAAAAGACCAAATGCATAATGCAAAATAATTTTTTGCGCTATCTGACAGTCGTTTTTCTCTTAATTCCCAAAGGTATATTTTTTTCATTGTAACTAAGAAACTGAATTCTTCGTTTTCGGAGGGAAAAAAATTGCAATAAATTGTGAGAAAACGACCTACAACCAAAAGAAACATCCGATTTTTTTTTTCTGTGAGAGTTTTCAGAAAATGAATGATGACGGCAAATTGTTCGAAAACGGAGAAATGTGGTGTTCTTCTTTGAAGGGAAAAAGAAATTCCTCAGAAAAGGAAAGAATTTCCAGAATATTTGAAAGTTTAGGATGATATATTTTTTGAAAAAAAAAAAAAATTCTAGAACATGAAGCAAAAACTCTACCATGAGATTCTAAAACATTTTACTTTTGCTGTGCATCAAAGAAAGAAAATGGAAAACATTTCAATTCTGACATATTCATTGAATATGAAAACGACGTAAAGGGAACTCCAAAAGCAGCGGAATTTTGTAATCAAACTAAATATGGTGAGAACATTATTAATGTGATAACTAGAAAATATTCGATTAATGTGCCTACAAGAAATACTTTAAGAAGCAATGCATATGCAAAGGATCTATTCCTACTAATAATACTCTTGGAGAATAATGGGTCTTTAAATATTATTCTATCGAAAATTTTCCTCCTCCGAAGAAGAAGCGATTTTATTCAAATCAAGGCTTGTATTTAAAGATTAAGTCTCAAGTTCGTGGAGAGAGAGGTTAGAAGCTAACAGATAGGAAGTAGTAATTAACGTAAAGCTAGGCGGGAGCGCTTCGTAGATTATTTGATTAATATTAAGATTGACGATTAGGTCGGTTGTCAAATTGTATTCTGGTAGGTTTAAATTAGATTACTTTAGAAATTATCTTCAAATATAAGAAGGTGTATTGCCTGGACTTGCTAAGTGGAAGTGATCCGATTTATTTTTATATCTTCAATTATCTCGTCTACCTCGCTATTGCTCAAGTATTTATCTATTGGTGCATTTCTTAACTTAGCGTGTTGAAATTGTGTTGTTGTTGAGAATAAATTGAGTTTGTATTGACTATGGTTTATCTTCCATCTGACCCTCTTACACTAAAATGGATGGAACAATCCATCCATTACACATATACAGTAAAATACGCTTAACACGCGAAAACACTTAAGACGAAATATCTGTTAACACAAAATGATACACCAATATACGAAATATCAATAAACTACTATGTATTTCCATGCATTTTTTTCTCTTAATACAAAACAAAAATCACTTAACACGAAAAGGTTTTCCTTCTGGGAATTAACAAAATACCGAAAACCCAGTCACGCAGGCGACATTTAAGAGGAGTGTGAGAAAGTTTATGTATTATTGGACTATCCTACTGTATCATCGGAAGAACTCATTGCAATTGTTGATGAATATGAGTGTATACCCCAAATTTTTCCTATGACAGACACATTTGGGAGGTTGCTCAAAACTCAAAAAAAAAAAAAAAAAACATTGATATAGATTCCAAAGACGAAAATGAAATGAATAAAGCCCACGTCCCCAGATGTGCATGTGAAGTCATGTACCCACGTCCTCCTATATAAGGACATCATGAAAAGTATGCGTAGTTATTTAGACACACATTCTAATGATGAAATGAATAACGAAATGAACAGCAAGTAACAGTTTGTTGACAATATGATGCTAAAAAAAGACTGTGCAAAGAAAAATATCAG